ATTGAGTTAAAATGCTGGGTTTTAACTAACATTTTCTTAGTAGTGTGCTATTTGAATTTTGGACTTCTGGACAAATAAGATGATAAATTTGTGGAGGGAGATTGATAATTTAAAAACAAATTGCAAACACACTATAAGCGTCTAATATAAGGAAGTTGTAAAGACTTTTTTTTAATAGCATGCCATATCCAAGCAGGGTTTTGGGGCAGGGGTGTAAGGTGTCTGTTTTCTTGTATAGCTATGATTATGCCTATTTTGTTCCTCTAGAAAACATGAAAAGTTTACAAAGGCTTAACAAGTATGGTTTAAAGACAATAAAATATCTACCTTACTTCTGGTGGTTGTTTAGTATCATTTCACAGGTTTGGAATTGAAGAGGAGGCTTTCGGATATATGGATTGAATTGGTGTAATCCTGCTTTGTAGGTCAAGCATTTGTGACATGAGCATGAATTTTGCCTTTTGACCTTGCTGAGCAAGGAGCTGGCAGCATTAGACCCCACTTGAAAGGGGTTTAATATAGATGCAATGAAAATTTGCCTTGGACAGCCTGGTAGCAGCTCAGCAGTGTTTAGAAAGGTGCTATATTTCTTGTGAGTACCTTTTGGTAACATTTTCTCAACTGTTATACTGTCAGGAACAACTCCTAGATTTCCCCATGCCATTGTCGTGGCTTAAAACCTTTTTCTCGGGCTGCAGCAGTGAATGAACTGATTGCATACCATTTGTTATGGGCTTGTTCTCCACTGATGGAGAACTTTTTTGGTTACCATCTGAAGTTAAGAAAGGGAGCTGAGAATACTGGATGAGTGTTTAAAGATCTAGACAGCCAAATAGAAAACCACATATTTTTTTCTTGTTCAGAGTTTGCAAAATGAGAGTCTTGAATTCGCAAGAGCAACCTACGAGAACTGACCAGATCCTGGGATGGCTGCTGTGATGAGGGGAGAGACCAGCTGAGATTAACTGAAGCATTTAGTTTGCTGTCAAGGTTTCTTTAGACTTTTTGAATAGAGGCCTACTGGTAGGCTACATGGTCTTTTTTTCTTTCTTAGTCAATATGATGAATTTCTCTAAGGCATTTATTGGTGGACTTTCGCTCTTTAAAGATGGACTAAATAATAGAAGGTAGCAAAATACACTCTTAAAGCTATTACAGAAATTAGAGCAAGGTTATTTACACAAGGTATTTAATAAAATAACTTCTATATTGTAACAACAAAGCCAGGCTCATGGGAATCTTCTCTCCTTTACATGGGAAAGTTTGGGACAGGAAGTTACTGAATCACCAAAGGTACAGCAGTCTGTAGGGCTTGGGAATAGAGTTTGTAACTCCTGTCTCTTTCACTGAGACAAGTTATTGGCACTGTTAGCTAAAAGCCTACTGTTGGTACTTTAATACAATGAAATATAGCTTTGCTTTCATATTAAAAGTGTGTTTTGTTGTCCCCACTGTAAATGTTTTATGAAAAAAACTTTACAGTTTGTTTTGTGTAGTGCTGTGACTGTTCTCAAGCAGGAAAGTTAGAGAGATGGTACAGATGTGGGGAATCTGGCTTCTCCGCAGAGGAGAGAACACCCATTGCTGTTTTGCTGCTCTCCTGCTAGACCAAACAGAGGAGCAGCAGTGGTGGCACTCCTCAGAGTGCCCTTCGTTAATGGCGATTGTGTTTTTAAAAGGTAGGGTAGTTCATAGGCTTTCCCTACCACAGGGAAAAAGATGGGAGAACCTGTGATACCCAACTCGGTTATGTGCATGGATTGCAGGTTGCCCATGTGTGGTTTTATAACACAAGGGAATGGAGTCTTGCCGTGTTACTGACTGTCATCATCTGGGTCTGTATTTGTTCACCACTTCCCAGTAGAAAAGTCTTTCAAAATAAATTTGGGTTATCTTGTACTTAAATAGTCTGTCAACAGTTCGCTTAACTAATATATCGTTGAAATCTACTTGGAATAGTAATTTGTCCAATGTTTAGTTTTGGAAATGTACAAATGCTCAGTAAATTACCTTAAATAGATAAACGCTGTGGTATTAAATTGGAAGGTTTCAGAGCAGCATTTAAACATTAAAAATGCATTTAATGTGGGATATTTAGCTCTTTATACGTCGTTAATGCCAATGGAAATAGGTAATGTGTTAGGTTTTTTGCAAAGGATTTTGCAAATTAGTTGCAGTGGTAAGAATGTGAACATAAGCGCTTGTTGTAAATTAAAAATGATGTTGAGACTGCTTTTTAATCCCATATTTGTAGAAAATTTAACTAGTGCTGCACAAAGTGCAGCATACACTGTTAAGTGTTTTGCATATTATTGTATATAACAGTATTGGTGCATTAGGATTTTTTCCTCTTTAATTAATTCATTGTTGTACTAATTAAAAAAAAGGCTATTTTGAAAATAGAAATCAAAATTATAGTAAACATTATGTCTTAATCTACCAAGAAAAATGGCTTCTTCTGAAGATTATTTCATCATTCTGTGCTGCAGCGAAAGATTGCAGTGTGTGTTGTACTTAAAGCTTTGTCCTGAAGTTACTTGAGAAATGACATTTTTGGTTTGAATGTCTAGTTAGATATGTCTGCATCCTTATTGGAATATTTAGTCTGTTATTTTGCTTTTTTTTTGTTCTTATTTTTAGTATTTAAAATAGATTTGTCCAGGTTTGTGGTTTTGGTAAATAGCCTGCAGGCTGTTTCATGGTGTGTGTATATATAGGGGAAAGACCTTACCAATACCAACACTTTTTAAGCCTGATATTTGCAGAAATTCGGAGAGGTGATAGTAACCTATTGGATCCTCTTTCTTTGTCTGTTCCTCCCTCCCAGAAATTTTGTTTCAGTAGCTCACTGAGGCTCCTGATGGTGGTCATTACTTTGAAGTTCCCATGGAAAACTACTTTTTTTTTTTTTTTTTAATAAATTTTGGGAGAAGGTATATGGGCGGTTGCTGGTACTAAGTGAAAAGTTGTTTATTTGTGCTGAAAAAAACCCAAACTTACAAGTATTTATTCACTCAAACCTTGGCATTATTTTCCGGTGTGCTTGCCTAACTCTTCTTTTTTTGCCTAACAAAATCTGAGCTAAATCTGTATTTTGAGAGGGTATAAATCATTCCTAAAAGGAACAGGGTACCTTTGCTTGTGTGTGGTGGTGTGTGCTGTGATGACTCGGAGTGGGTCTGAGCAGGGAGGTGGCCAAGCCCTGAAGTGCCAGTAAGTCTTGCAGAATGAAAATAGTGGGGTTGTCTTGATGGTATTTTCCCTACCCTTGTGATGCTTATTATTTCTTTAATAATTCAAGAACTATAAAGGAAGATTATGAGTAAAATATCAGACCAAATAGTACATGCACAAGGCATATTTTGAGTTGATTGTTTATGGTATACTCATAAGCCTGAACCGTGGCCAGTGTGATTTAATAGCTTCATGTTTTTTGTACACAGACTTTAAAAAAAAAAAAAAAAAAAAGGAATAAAGTATTTAAAATTGATTTTCTTTTTTTACTTGACCAAGTTCAAAACAGTTTTCTTCCTGAAGGAGTTAATGAGGGAGAAACTTGGAACCAAATTAAAGTTAGAAGTTGAATTGGATTTCAGGAAAATAGCTGGAGTGTTGAGTTGTATTTATTCACAAGCAGAACAAAAGAAATGTCTTTCTCATGGCTCTGTACGAGGCTGATGCTCGTACAGAAACGAAGTGTCTCGAATCAGAGTGTTGAGCTCCCACCCGAAGAGTGTGCCGACAGTTAAAGGGCGCTTAATTATTTATTTGAATTTCTGAAACTCTTCAGTTCAGATCCATGTGACTATTTCCTGAACATATTGTGATCTCTGAATGTGACAAGCAGATGCCTCTGATGGTTGAGCAAACAGTGCTTATGAAAGACTTCTTTCTCATGAAATGGCAGATATATCCTGCAGGCAGTGGTGCTTGTGTCCTGCTATTTGTAAGTCTTCTGAACAGAAATAATCACTGGGAGGCTGTGACAGAGGATGGGAACCAAGTCACAGGGCAGTGCTAAGAAAAGAGCAATAAATAAAACCAGAACGATGGAATATCCTGCAAGTGCTTTTTCAAATACTTTATATAAATGCCGGTGCAGATTCCATGATATCTTTCTATTTGCAGGGTTGTGGTCCTTGCTGTTAGGATTGCATGTGTGTGTCTGCCATGTGATGGGGCTGCAGCTGTGCAGCCTCTCCCCCTCCTTCCTTCCCTCAGATCGTGGCTGTGTCCGACACTGAAGCACTATCACTTAAAAATGAAATCGGTATTTATAACTTGGCATATTCTTATCAAAGAGAGAGAATTATGTGGTGAGATAATGTGTGTAAAACACTTAGTATCTTGAATATGAACTGCTTTTCCTGTGAATCATGTGCTGTGATGAGGGAAATAAAGCTCAAGGGCAAATATTTAGAATACCTGTATATTTTAATTGAAGAAGACTGGCTGAAAAGAGCGACCGAATGTTTTTCACAAAATGAGAGAAGTATCAATCTGTGTAACTAAAGTGTACAGTTTATTAGGATGCACCAGTCCTCCAAGTACAGCAGTGTCATAAAAATTTAAGCTTTAGGCTCATAGTGTATTTTCTCCTTTCAATGCTGTGATACTTTATGCAGAATAATTTAAAACTGAGAGACCTGGTAAGACATTTACTGCGAAAGGACTCTTGTGTTAAATGATGTTTGCAATCATAAACATCCTGTGTGATTTGATCAGCTTCCCACTTTCTGAAAGTTATCTGTACTAGTAAATATAACTCAAATAATCTATTCCTGTGAAGCAACCTTTGTTTATGTACTCTCCAGTCTTCTGCATTCAAAAAGCTTTAGTAGCTTCTACTTGTTCCTTTTGACCAATGAATATGTAGGAATGGTAGTATTTCACTTTAGGAGTGTTAAAGATTCATTGTAATCCTGTTACCTTTTTTTACTTCTGTGTGTAGTGTGATTTATGTCATTTGAATTAAGATAAGTCTCTTTTGTATTTTTCAGGTTCAAGCCATTTTTTCCATTTCAAGTATTGCCACCTGATGAATATGAAGATCGAGACCTCTGTATACAGGATTTTTTATTGACAGAAGGTCGACTAAAAGTCACGTTAATTGAATGTACAAGGTATGTTTTGTGGTCTTTTGCTCATTCTTGACTAAGCAAGTACCCATGTTACTTAAGCTTGTTGTAATTATAGCTGTAGGTCTGTTCTGATTCATGAACTAGCAACTTTGGTGTTGTGATTGTGCTCTAATGAAGAAATGTATTTTTTTAAGTAAAAATGAACAAATGGAAGTTGCAGTAAGTTCCTGAGGCTCTTCCATGTTTTGAGTGGGTGCATGCATTTGCCTTTCTTCTGAATTTCGCCCGGTTACAAGCTAATCTGTGCCTCCTGTTGGGGTTTTTCTTGGGTTTTTTTGTTTGTTTGTTTGGCACACCAAATTATGAATCTCTTTCCAGGACAGCATAAATGTTGTAATTATCCTATTGTATTATGTTGTAAGCAAAGGGAAATAATTGTTTCACTCAGTCTTACTTAGATTAATCCAAATAACTTTTATAAGGCATTACTTATTGTCTTTGTCTCGAACAAAATAATGGAAAGAAATAAAATCTACTTCCTTCATTCAAGAGAAAATTATTCTCTTTAAAGCTGGAAAAAAGGTGTGTGGGCTCTTGGTTTGTCTGTTTTTTGGTTTTTTTGTTTTGTTTTGTTTGGGTTTTTTTCAGACCTCTTAGTTCTTGGTTTATGTTAGATCTTATCCAAGTAGTGCTTAGGCTTTGATCTAGTCATGTGCCCTTCTGCTCCTTATGAACTAAACTCTGGTTTGCAGCAAGACTTTTTTTAACCTGTTGTTTTCATTGCTTGTATTGCCATATGAGCTCCTCTTCACACTTTTTTTCTGTAGCCTTGTACAACTGTTTGAATTGTGTTTGCTGTACTAATATGGTTTATCAGTGGCATGGATTTCCAGAAGATACTCTTCTGTTCTAAAGATTGTGTGGGCCACAGCGGTGATTTTTTTTCTTTCTTTTTTTTTTTAATAATAAAATTGCTGCTTACCTGTCTCTTAGCTTTGCGATATGTTTTCTGTGAATGATCCAAGGATACTAAATGACTCTGTGCACTCCTTGGCTGCTAGGAGTTTTCCTTTTTACCCATGCTGAGTAAGGGAACTCATGATCTCTCTTTATAGGCAGTCTGCAATTTCAGTCTGGTAGTGCATTCATTTTTATTATAAGAGCGCCCAAAATAACTACCTTAAGTCGTGTGCAGTTGGTTTTGGTTTGGAAAGTAATCTTTTAAATACTATGCCTTTCCTGAATCTGAAACACTGTGTAACATCACCAACATGTCAGTAGCGTTGTGTTTCTTTCCATTACATTTAGAAGCCAGATTGCTCAGTTTGACATCATCATCCGACCTCTCAGTATTTTCAGCTGTCACAGATGCTTATCAGATGGATGGGAGAGGATGCAGTTGCTGGCTTGTCAGGTCTTTTAAGCTTCAGGTCTGACTTAATCCAACTGTTTTATGCCGCTTGGCATTTCTTGACACACACTTGAAAATTATGTCTCAGCAGACACCTCTCAATCTAGATGTCTGACACTTGGTCCCTAGTAATTTCTCAGATCTTCCAGGTGTCCCATCCTTTCTTGAACTAAACTACAACTGCTGTCCATTGAGTCCCCCTGTGAGTAAATATTCTTGCTTACTTTGCACCTGAAGGTATTGATGAGGTGGAAGGTGAAAGACATATAGAGGATTTTGGTGGTAAAAGAAGAAATACACAACATATATGAAAGTAACAATGACAAAACTTTCCTTTTTCATCACCACTGTATGTGAACTGGTGTGGAGGTTGCCTGGGATCATTCTCAATGGTTCTTTTGCAGTGCAGCACTGCACGCTGAAATACAGAGCTTTATCACTCATGTCTGCCGTAGGGACCTGAAAATTTTTCTTAGCGATCATTCTCATTCCAGAAATGAAAGATCACTTTAACTTCTGTGTGTTTTTCAGTTTTGCTCAGTGCCTTAGAAGGTTTTTGTATTCTCTCTCAGTACAGTAGCTGTTCTTTGACTTCTGCATAGAATTTGGAGTTGATTGACCACTGACGTACTCCATCTACTCTGGTAACAGAGTTCTGCTACTTCTCCTGCTTAAATCTGAAATACAGTGGTGGAACTATAATGACAAAACATTGAGCAAACTTTTTGTGTTGTAAATGTCTAGTTTAATTTCATTATAGTCTTCACACAACCAAATAGCTGCACTTGTTTCTTTTCTAATTGCGGGCTTGACCACATTAATTTCCTTGCTGTCATGCTATTGAAAGAAAAATTAATTTTGCACATTTTCAAAATTAAATTAATGAAAAGATGGGAACTTGATGTAAATAATAAAGGATTATGTTTTGCAAATTTTTGTCTGACCTGTTGAAAATGTAAGTTTTCCTGTACAAGTACAATGCCCTTGCAGAACTCAGTTGTTGCAAAAATGCTATTATCTGTCATTACCTTAAATTTTTAAGGAAAAGGAAGAAGCAAAGCAACATGCTGTTAAATTTTGCTACATTTATTTTTTTAAAAGATACATCGTGAAGAAAGTCTTAAAGCCTATAAACTCTTATGTTAGGTGAGAATATTCTCCCAAAACTATGCCATCAAGTGGGCTTTCTAAATTAGCATTTGTTTCAATAGATAACCTTTGTGGAGAAGGCAATTTCCCTCAGTTATTTAGTAAAATACCAGAGTGTACCTGAGACTGACTTGTCAAATTTGGACTTTTGTGGGTTCTTCTCCTTTTGTCTTCAAGTAGATTTCAGTGTGCAGCAGTGGCACCTTTAAGTATGTGAATACTGAATCTGCTTTTGACATTCTTAAAATTTGGGAAATATTCTGCTCATCTCAGCTTCTAGAATACTTGCAAATAGAAAGGCCACAATTGAAATAAAAATTTAGGAAGGCATTGTAAAGGAAATAAATTCAGCTTGCTTTTATGCACCTGGTAATAAATAACATGTTACTAAAGGTGGGTGTGTACTTTGTCTGCCCATACCAGATTCTTGTTAGATTTGCAGATCAGTACTTCAGCATTCATCCTAGAAAAAGCAGGAAACTTGATAGCCTTGTTGTTTATCCTCCTTTCCGAAAGACTATAAAGACTTGCTGAAGTTGTTGGCTTGGCTCGGCTCAGGAGTTGAGGTGACCACAACCTCCATGTGCTCCTGTTGTTCTGTATCACAGGACAAACACTTCATGTCTTGGAGTCCTTGTAGCTCTCAGACTGGAAAACAGGACAGCTACAAACAACTGTTTTCATATCTATAGCTATGCTGTTGAATCACTTTCTCCTACCTTATCCTCACTTGTTGAAGGACACCGTCTCATTTACAACTGAAGAAGGAACAAAAATTCACTTTCTGTACGTGTATTTTAATTACTCAGGTGGTAATTTAATCACATTTCTTTATTGATTTAATTATAGCTGGGGTCATAAACTTTGTTTTGGGATGTCTTTCATATATCCTTTCATACTGATTTATAAACTTTCAATCTGTAGGACATAGATATCTCCTTAATATCCAGTTGTTTTGGGTGTGTTGTGAAATAATCTTAATGTTAGTCTTTATCTGCAGCTGTGTTATAGAATACAGTACCTCTGTTTGCATGCTAATGGAGGTATTATTCGAACAAAAATTCCCTTGGTGTAGTAGCAGTTAAAATTTCCCCTTTGTCTTTCTGAAATTGGAAATTGAATTCCAAACTCCAGCATGGAGAGCTCTTCAAAATTTAAATGTGTGGTTTTGCTGTCTTGTTACATATTCCTTCAAGCTGGGTGTTGGTAATCTAATGTAAGGTGAAATCTCATTATGAGTCATTGTTTTCCTTGTGACTTTTGTTATGGTTCTGGCTGAAAATTCTATTTTATTCCCATTTTGAGCTGCCTCCTGTCCTTGTTCTTCTACCTTAATTGCCACCAGTACAAGACAGCTAAATAGCTACTGTGCTGATATTTTAGAGGGACAGTAAGTACCACTGGAAAATTTCCCAAGAATGTGTCTAGGTGACCAGAAGATGAAGTGTGTGCAGCCAACGATCAGCTGTGGAAAAGCTTTAATGAACTGTCTGATATTAATGAGACACTGAGGAAAACCTGTGTTACTCAAAAGCAACTACTACAAGCAGAACAGAAAAGCCACAGAGGGTTGCTGCAGATGGCTTAAAAATAAGCAAAGGCAGCATGAGTTTGTCAGTTCAAGTAACCTTGAACTAACTTAAGTCTTGACCAGACAATATACCTAAGCAGTTGGTTCTGAGGCTGGATTTCTGCTTACAGTAATCAAATCAATAGTGTCTAGACAAATCGGTGCTGAATGTCGAGGTGGAAATGAGGTTGGCAGCTGCTGTTTGCAGTGTTTCACTGGAGCATGCAAACTTTCCATCTGAAGATGGGGCTACAGGAGGTAGCCACTAACTCTGAACCCCCCAAAAAAAGACACTTTGTAAAGCAGGTGTGCTGGGTACCAACCCAAATGTGATCTTCCGCTATCATCTCCCCCATGCATTCATGTACTCAGCTAAAAACCAGTTAAACAAATATGTCATAGAGAGACGTAGAAAATAAATATTTATTTACCTCTCCTTGCTGCAATGCAAGCTAGAGAGCTGTCGTAGCCGGAGCGGTGTTTTCCCTTGGTATTGGCTTAATTTTGCCAATTCTAATTGTTGGTGAAAGTTGTTTTCAATAGCTTTACTTAATTTTCAAAGTATGTTTACTACATATCTCCATGTCTGGAAGGCTAGGCACTTTTTGATCATAAATATTTAGCCTGGAAACTTCATTTAACAACATCAAGATAAACAGAGAAAATTGACATGTTTTTCCTGACAGCTTTTGTCTGTATCATCTAAAGAGTCGTGTAACACATCACAATCACAAATAGGATACTTTGGGTGAGAGCTTAGAAACCATCCTTGTCAAATGTATATAGAAAGTTTGGGGGGTGGGGAGTTAAAATCTACTAGCTCTTTTGAAGGAGTAAGATTTGTTTGAAGTTTTTATTCAGAAATATTTATCTGCTTCCAACTACTGTGAGAGAAGCTGTGTGCAACTTTATTGCTATTCTATAGCATAAAGGTTATCGTTTTTTTCTTTTATAGTACTGATATCTACCTGAAAAGCTTTATAGCCTTGTGGAATAGGGTATCATGCATGAAGAACCACTCTTTCTTTTGTTATGAAGGTTACAAAAAATTAGATGTGAGAGGATCCCAGTTTAGTGAAATAGAAACATAAGCAGTAGTAAACTGTGACTTTAATCCATAGTAACACTCTCTTGAACCAAGAAGAGCTGCAGTATATTGTGAAGTTTAGGACTAGAATGGAAGAATCTTGTGGCTATTGTTGCTTTTTAAAAAAACCAAAAAAGTTATTCTTCTATGGAAAAACACTAGCCTGCTGATTTGCTTTATTTAAAAAAACAAATTAAAAGAAAGAGGGAAATACAATAGCAAAAAAAAACCAAACCAAAACAACCAACCAAACCAACCCCCACAAAACTCAAACCCCTAGCTGAAAATTTTAAGTTATATTTGATATTTATGGAGTTCTTCCACTAGAGGGTGGCAGTGTCTTCCCTTTTGGTGTAAGGCTATGCCTGTGGAATCTTTTTTGTGTGGTGTTCTCTGTGTGTACTCATTGATAATAGAGTGTATAAATAAAGAATGGTGAGTTTAATATGGTATCTGGGATATATGTAACAGTATTACAATTCTTACTATAGGCTTTTCTATTTCAGGTTACTTATGTTTGGATCCTATGAAAGAGAAACAAATGTTCATTGCACAATGGAGCTGAGCAGTAATGTTTGGGAAGAAAAATCAAGAAGTTCTATTAAAACGGTAAAAAGTGAATAATCTTTGCATATTGCAGTATGTCTTATGCTCTTAATACATTGTCTGGAAAAAGTGTATCTTTGGACAATGAAATGAGTGATAGAGCAGAAAAAAAATAACCCAAAACTTAACTGACCAGTTATTTACTTTTTAATCCAAAGTATTTCACTGTCAGATTGACATGTATGGATAACATCATGTTCAGTTATCACAACTGTGCTTGAAAACATACCTAGTTTGAATATATTGCCAAATGTTCATCTGCATTAAAACAAGTAGTGTAAAATATGCACTTTTATAGTCCTGTTACATTTCAGTGGGGCAATGTTTAGAAAACAGGGGGATTTACCTGTCTTTCACTGGCCAGTAGTGTATTCCCTTCTGATGTGAGTGTTGAAGACAGCGTGATCAGAGGGTAGGTAGCTGATGTGACTGTCTTTCTCCTTTTCTCCTGCATTTTGTGAAAATGTAGGCAATTGCTGTAGATCTCTTAAGTTTTTTTTAGAGCATAGGAATCCTACTCTGTCTGGCAAAGAAAAATACTTTTACAAGTGTCGCCAAATATAGAAAGTAGTAGTGTTGGTGGTATTGTAAGTTAATCTTTTACTAATTATCATGCTTGATAACATGAGTTTAGCAGCATACAGCCTACAAATTGCCTTTCTTTTTGTGTGTGGATGAGAGTTGCCTTTTTTTTTTTCTTCAAACAAGAGGGGTGCCATGTGTGAAAGAGTCTTTCAGTTTCATGTTAGAGTGATATTGTGGTAGTCATAAAATTGAATTGGGCTTATGCTGAGCAATAAGTAATGTGCTTATTGAAAAAAACAACAAAAAAAACCCAACACAAAACCCCAGAAACTTTAAAAAGACTTTATGTTAACAATTGGTTTCATGCAAAGAAATCATTGGAACAAAAATCAATGTCCTGCATTTTACTCTCTGCTGAGTGCAACTAGCTTAAGCCCCTGTGCCTTTGTTATATCTGACTGGAGTTGTGTTTGGAGACTAGCATCGTTTTGCCACTGGAGCAGCAAGAATCCAGAATTTCAGCATCTCATTCAGTTTCTGCAATTAAATTCCACTTTGCATTGTTTTTAAAACTCCTTGTAACAAATGCTATGCTACTTGTTTTCAGCTTACTGTATATTATGTTTTGCTAAAAGGTTGTATGGCTGAGCAACAGACAGAAAGCCTGTTTTTGTTGTCTTAGCTGCTGTATTCTTACTCAAATGAAAAACTTGAAGGGAGGGTAGAGGTTCACCTATAGTCTCGTAGGAACCCATAACACTGGGTGGCAATTAGCTTTCTGAGTGTGGCAGGGAAAAGACAAGCGGGGAGCCTGCAGCTGCAGCACAGACCGAGACACGTCAGAGAAGAACTTTCCCAGAGCATGGTTCAGCAGCCAGACATCATAGAAACCAGTGGCAGCTCAGGACTGTGTTCTACAGAAGTTGTCTCTGTCTTGGCCCCCTCTCTACCTGCTCCTAACACAGTCAGTGGTGTCTGTGTGGTTACGAGTTAGCCATGTCCACTCCCTGAGTTGGCTTGCTGCACGAAAGCTCCAGTGCTGGTGGAAAGGAGAAAGAAGGGTGGGACGGCAGCAGCCTCAGCTAGTTTAAACTGCTGAAGCGCAGCACCACCAGAGGTGATGGCCTAAAGTGTTCCAGTGGTCCTGAGAGGAATTACTGGGTTTGCTTAACTCTAGAGGTTGCTAGACTTCATTGAAGCACTAGGCAGGAGGTAGATTTGAGTAATTTATTTTCAGACCTTTTTGTTTAATCTGTTTTATGCAGCAGTTTTTAATTTTGTTTAACTTTTTCTAATTTGTTCTAATCTAAAGGTTTAAGCCCCTTTGCATGATCACATGAGGATAAGGTAGGAGCAATTCAGCCTTAGTAGTCTGGCCAGTTCATAGTCTTAACCCTTTCCTAATGATAATGATAATAAATATTTTCAAACATTTCAAGAAACAAGCAATACTGCCAGTGTTCAAGAAAACCCAACAATCAAACCAAAAACCCAAACAATTTCAGGATCTGGACCCAATGCTGCTAATACTTACTCATGTGAACGAGCCTTTTGTTGGGATAAGCTGTGTATGAAACCACACGTGGATCTGCAGGGTTGGTGCTATAGCAGTGAAGGTGGCAGTACGCTGATTTACCATTACGCTTCTCTGGACAAATTAATTTGTGCTTATTTTTATATAATTTTGAGTAGCAATATTGGAATGTATTCTTTTACACTCTAGCAACAGAAGAGGAAAGAAAAAACACTCTGTGGGCAGCATGGCACCGGTGTGTTTGTGACAGCAGGTGGCAGTAGGACTAAACTGATGGAGGGTGGCATGGCTCCTTTTTTAAAACTACAGAAAAGTACTCAGGGTGAGACTCTCAAGAACTCATCTTCTGTTTCAGCATCTAAAATTAAATGGCAGGTTTTTAAAATTTCTTAAGCTTTTGGAAATCTGGCCTGCAATGTAGAGAAGTGCTTTCTATGCATCTTTGTTGCAGTTCTTCATTAAGCATAGTTCAAACACTGCCTGCCAGAGAGCAGAGACTCCTTGATCTGAATTGCTCTAGCTCTGCTCTCAGTGTGAAGAATTCACTGTGCTCAACCATGTTGAACTTTAGGCTGCTAGATAGGCTTCCTAATTTTAAGATCCTGCTTTTGAAAAGCTTGATACAGTAGAATTCCGAAACTGAAATTTAGCAACTTGCAGAACTACTTTTTGCTTCTTCGCTTATATTCAACAGATGTAGTGAAATCATGGAAATGTCTTTTCCTTAAGAAATCAGGTTAAATATGCAAGTTAAGTTACAAAATGTTAGGACATCTCACTGGGTGGCAAGAGTATTGCCAAAGATCCTCAACAAAATAAGAAGTGTTCCTGACACACCTAACACTGGAACGTATTTATTTTTCTCAGAAATTGTAACTGTGTGATTAGTTAAATAGGAGCTAATAAAGAAAAAAACATTGTGATATTTTTCCAAACAAAAAGTTTACTTGTATCTTTAATTGTGATTTTTAGCTCTAATGCAATGTTAACCACAAGGCAGCTGATCGTAATACTTAATATCTTTCTAATATTACATCCTTCTTTTAATGCTGAAATGTGCAATAATTATTTGAGATGAAGTTGTTGGAATGAATAACAACTTCAGAAACTATGGAGGAGAAATGACAGACTAAGTTGAAGTGAAAAGTAGAAAGATGCATTGTGGTTTAAAAGCGTCTAATTTGTAGAGTCTCACATAGGCATGAAAATACATCCTCTGATTCAGACTGTTCTACAATGCTCCTGAGGAAAATTCTCATAACTTTCTATACTTCCTGGCGTTTTCATTCTTTTTATTATGTTAGTAGCGGTGATAAAAGATTAGACAGGTTTAATACTTCATAATGAATTTTGGCGAGCCCTTTAATCTGATCCCATTATTTATGGAATATTAGTAGGTGTCAAAATTGGTTTTGAAAAAAGATGCTGTGTTATTGAACATATCTAGAGCATTATTGAAGTGTCTGTTATAATACGAAGGTGTCTCAGGCTTCTGTTTATCAAATCAATCTGAAACACCAGTAAGGTGTTCAGATGTGAACTTCAGAAAAGTGATTTGGCACATTCCCATGTGACACATGTAAACATTCTTAAATATCTTAATTAGTAGTACATGCTGCTGGAATTAACGTTAATCACTGCATTGCTTTGTAAAACTTAATTATGTATGGATAGGATGTAGTAATTAGCATTAGCAGCATTGGATTACTAGACAGGTGTTCTGTGGCTAAATAACTAGATATGTCTGAATAATTAGGTATATATTTGTAGATATTAAGTGGAGGCTGTGTCATAAATGTGAATGGTTATGTCCACCAAACTGCCAGTTAGCAATACCAGGTTGATTTCTACAAACCAACCACATTGTTCTGTTTTCCCTTGGAGCACATTTGTTTAGAGTGGACCCCAGCCTTGTTACACTTAGTCAGAATCTTGCTGCTAACTTTACTTGTGCCAACACTTCATGTCTAGTGTTGTGAAAGAGTAACAATTTTTCAGCAGAAACTGAAGTTGCTTTATGAATAAAAGGAAAATACAGTCTGCCTTCCTTAAAAGTGGCAGAAGAATGGGCATAGAAATTATCTTGAAGTATTAGTAACAGAGACCTGAGATAGCTTTGCAGCTGTAAGTATCCCTTACACTGACTATGCAACGCCTTGACTGCTCAATGGATGCTCAGCTGCCCTGAGTGTGGCAAGTGCTGGCACTTTCCTCTGGTTCCAGCACTGTAGAGGAGAATGAATGAAGAGTATAGTTGTATCAAAATATGAATCTTATTTCTTATGAACTGCTCTGCATATCTTGGTAGTCATGTTACCTTTCTTTAGGTACTGATTTTTCTGACAGATAAATTGGTTTTCCACAAATTGTAGAAACTACTGCAAAATTAATGTTTTCTCCAGTTCATTCTGAACGTTGTGGTCAGCACTGAAGTAACTGAAGGGGAAGACCAGCGACATGGTCTTTCAATATCGCACTTTGAATTTGTGCATGTGTATACATACACATATATAGGCCATGATCTCCACTTCTTTTGGTGAGGTTATCTTGATGGATATGGCTTTTTTTATAGGTAAATTTCATGGTAACTTTGAAATTGCTGTAGGCAGGCTGGTTGGTACCTGTTTATAAAAACAAAGCAATATTTCTCAGCCTTTCATAAAATTAAATTTCCTTTATCAGGGATTAAGGGAAACTTGAAGGTATTCCAGTACTGTAACATATGAATGTAAAATGAGAAATAATGTAAATCAAATCCAGCACCTTCTGAAATGAGTTGCCTGAAGATACTAAACTATAGTGTCAAAATTTAAAGCAGCTGTGAAATGTTAATTTGTAAATACATAGAGTTAAATGCCTCACAGTTGGCATTTCAGTGTGCTTATTTAACAGCCTGCCATTTCAGCATTTAATCCTATCAAAAGAAAGGAGGAGGATTAAAGTA